GAAGAGGAGCGACTAAGTAAGTAAGTAAGTAAGACTGAACCAGGTAGAACGGAATGTGGCTGACCTGGATGAAACAGCCTGTAACCGAACTAGATGAAGCAGCCTGTAACCGAACTAGATAAGGCAGCCTGTAACCGAACTAGATGAAACAGTCCTTAACCGAACTAGATAAACAGCCTGTCACCGAACTAGATAAACAGTCTGTGGCTAAACTAGATAAAACAATCTTTGGCTGATCTAGATGAAACAATCTTTGGCTGAGCTAGATGAAACAATCTTTGGCTGAACTAGATGAACCAGTCTTTGGCTGAGCTAGACGAAACAATCTTTGGCTGAACTAGATAAAACAATCTTTGGCTGAACTAGATGAAACAGTCTGTGGCTTTGCAGACACCTAAACAAGAAACAGCAGACCAGACGAGCGAATGCAAAAGCCACTGAACAACTCCACCCCAGCTCAGTTTCGAATTAGATAAGTATCACCTACTTGATATAAGTCTGTCGTTTGCAATTTTTTTTTTTCTAGTCATGTACATAATATTTTAATGTCTCCATTTCATAGTGCTTATTTGTGTTTTTTGTTTTAGTCTATTGTCATTGCTGATGAAGTCTAATCGCCGCAATTTTCTGTTTGTTCTTTGTAATTGGTTTTGTAAAGCTGGCATACACTATTTGTTTTTCTTACCTTTGTTCTACTAATCCCTACAATTTCTTAACTTTAATTGGAAAGAGGTTATCTACGATACAGTCAGTGGTCGGGGTGTTTGCCTTGCTCTGTGAATTCAAAGCATAGCTACAGGTTTTCATTGAAAGTCTTCATCGGGGCACATTAAAATTACTAGAGCCAAGTTATCGTCTCGGCGGCGTCCGTGGCTTAGGCGTTGCGCGTGCGACTCGTCATTCCAACGTACCGCGATCGGAACCCACTGCTGGCTGCGTGGATTCTTATCATGGTATGGGGTGCTGCAGGTCGACCTAGCCTAAAATGGGTACCAGGATGTATGTCCTCAGGAAGTAAAGAGGCAAGCGTTCTGCTGACCACATTAACCACCTAGTGCCGATTGGTCTGTAAAAATATGGGTGTTCTTCTCGTATGCCTGTTGCCCCTAAAGGCGTAAAAAGGGAATTTAAACCAAAAAAAAAAAAAATCGTGCAATCAGACACAAAAGCTGAGTTAGCGCTTAAGCTGTAACAAAGAAGCTAAGCTGTCCTGCCATGTTGCTCGTGTGGTTGACACACGCGGCATAATCCAGTTGGCATTAGCCCATTTACCGCTGGCTGCAGTCTCTAGCCACAGATGTCGACACGGATGTGTGGCCATGTCCTTTTCATGGCTGCGATGTGTCCTTCTATCTTTCTACTTCTTTCTATGGTTAGTTGCGTATCCTTTACAGGACGTTGCAGGCAAATTTACGTCCAGTAGTTTACAATTGCTTACTGGACGGTCGGCTTTCTTGATACCACTGTCGAAACCAACGCAAGGCGCATGGCATGGCCCGCAGCTGGGATAGAACCCAGCATCCCGGCATTACGAAGCGTTCGCATCGACTTAGCCACAGAGCCGACACTTCTTTCTATGAGTGCCGATTAATACATTATCTGTTTGTTTATTGTATATGTAACACTGACAGGGTATGTATGTCTATCTGCGTCTGCCTGTCCATCTATTGTCTTTTCACCGGTTTGTCTACCTACTCATTCATCTGAACATAAACAGCAAAACCCTAAATTACATATTTAATTGATTACTCTATCTATCTATCTATCTATCTATCTATCTATCTATCTATCTATCTATCTATCTATCTATCTATCTATCTATCTATCTATCTATCTATCTATCTATCTAGCCATCTATCTAGCCATCTATCTAGCCATCTATCTAGCCATCTATCTAGCCATCTATCTAGCCATCTATCTAGCCATCTATCTAGCCATCTATCTAGCCATCTATCTAGCCATCTATCTAGCCATCTATCTAGCCATCTATCTAGCCATCTATCTAGCCATCTATCTAGCCATCTATCTAGCCATCTATCTAGCCATCTATCTAGCCATCTATCTAGCCATCTATCTAGCCATCTATCTAGCCATCTATCTAGCCATCTATCTAGCCATCTATCTAGCCATCTATCTAGCCATCTATCTAGCCATCTATCTAGCCATCTATCTAATGCACATGTCTTTCTATATATCTGTCTGGCCACTACGTAACGGCGGCTCCCATATTGCATGCTGAGATTTGTTTAAAACACCCCCACGCTGAGAGAGCAACCCACACACGTACAACCAGATGATTAGTTTCCGGGATTACGTTCACCTGCGCGCCACCGGCACCAAATAGAAAATCGTCAAACTGTTGCCCCAATTGAGCCGGGAGACGACCCTTGACAGTGAGTGATGCCAACAATCACTATGCAACAGATGAGCAAACAAAACGGTCCGTCTGATTCAGCCTTGTGCATCCGCCATTGTTATTCAGATTAAACATCTCGCTTAACTTCCGGTGGACAACGTGGTACCTGTAGGTGAGTGCGAGACAAGCCGCGACGTTATCTAATCAAAATCAACATCATAATAACAGAAATATTAAACCAGATATCACAGTCTTATACTGATAGGACAATGCAAAGATGAAATGCGGGAAATCTGTCAATGGGGATGCTAACACGTGGTCTTAATGATCTGGTGTTCCGAGGACACAGTAAGGCTTGATTGTTGGTTCTAGTTATGACAGATGGGAGAGGGAAAGAGAAAAATGTTGACCTTTGTTCGCACAGGTTTTATTACTGCTCTGCTTTTGTTTAGGTGGATGCAGTAGAGATAATGGTTGGGGATTTATTCATAAGAGTAAATAATAGACTTGAAGAACGTCGTAAGCTAGTTTAATACACACTAAAGACACATGTGTGACCGTGGAGTGTCGGAGAGAAGAAGAGACAGAAAGACCATGAAAACGCATTAGAAGATACACGGAGAGGGAGGGCGGGCAATGACGGAGTCAAAGACAAAGATAGTCAATGAATGACAGACACAGGGAGAGATAGAAGAAGACACGTTGAGTTGTTTAGTTTGTTACTGTCCTGACCGAAACGTCGATTTTAGTGTGTTGTCCAAGTTGTTTAGCTCCCCCATTTCGTTTAGCTTTTTAGCCACTGTTCATTGGATTAATTGAACTGACAAAAAGATGGATAAAGAGAAAGACAAAGACAGGCTAAAAGACCAAAATATGCTATCACTTTTTAAAGTATAGAGTCAAGCATTCCCAGATTCCTCTTCTTTTTTGTCGAGAATCTTCGGATTATTTTTCAAAACTGGCTGAGCTCCTGGGTCTAGTCAGCCTAGAATGGGTAGACCAAGACCAGCTCCGGCTGACAGGTCATGCTGCTGACGTCACCAAACCAAGCTCACGATACGCTAACGCAGCATTTCTTAACTGTTTTTCGTCGGGGAAAAACAAAATTCGCGGCACACCTACAGTTAAAGCGGTTTAAATACTTGAGAAAATTTAAAAAAAAAGAAAAGAAAACTGCAAGTTTGACTAAATACTTGAGAAAAGAAAAAAAAAAAAAAAAAAAAAAACTGCAAGTTTGACTAAATACTTGAGAAAATTAAAAAAAAAAAGAAAAAAAAAAACTGCAAGTTTAATGTCAAGCAAATTTGGAAACAATTCTTGCCGCTGCATCCCTGACATACCGCGTAAACCAGTTTGAGAATCACTGCGTTAACGTGTCGTTAGCCCGTCAGCTGCATGACCCGTTAGTTGGAGCAGTTCTTGGGTAGATGTGGGCTATTTTGACAACCTAAATTAGACTTCAGCAGGTGTGATTTGGACAACGTGACCCTTCGAGAGCGGACTGGTTTATAAGAATATAGACTAAGCACTATATACTTCCTCACAGATTCTACGCTGTTCAGACGTAAGTGTTACTTCCTATTTGTCAGGGGCCCCAAAATAACCTAGAGGTCGCCGTGTGGGTTCCGGGGCCCTGTCATAGTGAAAATAAGAATAGACCCACTGTCTACCCAAAAGCATGTCGTAAGAGTCAACTAATTGGGAGCTTCTTTCAAAGTCGAAGTGCATCTGTCTGAGAGGCAAGGAACCAGCAATCTGCATACAAATTAGCCAGATCCGTAAAACGGATGCACACGCAACACTCAGGTTCTGGAACAGGACTGCAGTCCAGAAGCGGATAAACAACCAGAACTTTCCGCCAGAGTTTACAGCTGGTGAACGCGAAGAAGAAGAAGATCAAGAAGAAGAAACAGAAGAAGAAAAAGAGGATAACCTTGAGGTTGGGCGGAGATCTATACCTTGGCGGATTCTCCTGGGCGGTCAGCATGCGGTCTATTGGGGTTCAACTTCACTCACGACATTTGCACGATAATCAAAGGGCTTGAGAAAGATCCCTTACTTCATGTATAATATATTACCGATGTGTCATACAAGAAAATTGAGTCCTTTACATTTTTTTTAACAACTTGCCAAGAATGCCTTTTCTTAACTCTCAAAAACAAACAACGCATCCTGTGTGTATTTACACATGTGCGACACTTAAAATATTGATACTCTTGTGCATGTTATGTCAAGTCGAAGCCTCCTAAAACAATCAACATGGCATGTTTATCCACCGAGATCTTCTTTATCGGCTAACTCCGGCGGAGTGTTGTGTACACATCCGTTTCACAGGGCTAACTCATTTGTATGCAAACTGTTGGTTACGTGCCTCTCAGGCAAATGTACTGCGACTTCGAAGAAAGTTCCCAAATTAGTCGACTCTTACGATTTCCTTTTTTGGATAGGCAGTAGATCTATTCTAGTTTTTCCCACAATGAAGCCTTGTAGTCTACACAGGGACCACAAGGAATGTATACTTGGGCCCTGTGGATGTAGTATACCCATTATTTTGTTGCTATCACAATAGTCTCAATGGGACATCATTGAACTATAAGCTCCTGTAACGGAAAGAACTAAACAATTCTATGTATCCTGTCCACAG